TTGAAATTATTAACTAGCTCACATCAAAATTAATATTAGCCTCACAGGGAACACTCAAACAATACTCCACACCTAACCACTTACAAGATGTAGTAAGATACTGTGCAGATCTTAAATAAACAATGTCAAGATATATAGTCCATTATAAACGTAAAAATAGATTTTATATGGTGCTCATTGTGCTTGCACTAAACGTGATTATACCATCTAAGTAGCCTATGTAATTTTAATAGAACCGCATGTATTCTTTAGTGACACAAGCTCAGAAACATTTATAACCTGTTGAAGTTTTTTATATTGTGTATTGACTTGGTGCCATGATGGATATTGCAATTTTGTTATTTATTTTTCATTTTAAACAGTATAGATAATTACTTAATGGTAATACAATATTTGTGAACACAACTGTGTATGTCAGACCATAAATACCCAAAAACTATACATGGGGGCTTGCTTTGGTGTTGCCACCCCTCATAGACCACATGCCACCCCTGTGCCACACTAAAAATTTTCTAGATCTGCCCCTGCCTGGAGCTGGAGAGTCTCATGTCTCTCTTTGCCAAGAGGCTTATAAAGATTACGGTCTGCTGTTGACATGTCATTTGAAAAAACTTATCTGGGGGCAGTGTATTATTGACTTGTGGGCTGTTTGAGAAGGTTTGGCTGAATTACTAAAGGATTAGATCAGAGCATGTGGCCTCCAAGGGTTAGTAACCTGAACTATTGACTGGGGAAAATTAGTTGAACTTGACATCATCTTTTAATGGTGCAGAAGCGTATCTTCCAGTCAAGCCTCAATAGACTCTATGCACGACTACTTCCGCGTTTCGTCTCAGTTGCTCCGCAACTTCCAGTGCTGCGCCGGTTTTTAGTTTTTACCTACCATTTCAATGATCGCTCTCAGCATGGCATTTTACACTTGCTGCTTGCAAGAATTTACACAGATTACAGTGAACGATGTCAATCGAATTGTAAGATTAGCATCGGTCACTCCTTCAAGTAAAATGGAGAAGGGCTTCAAATTGTATATTTCGAGTTATATCGACAACTTTGAAGGTACATATTCTCAAGCTAACAAGCTAACGCTAGCTAGCGTTGTTTGTGACAGTGCATACTCTTATAGTCTGTGTTTTGTGTTTTGTTTACGTAACCTTTTTTGTGTTCTGTTTACTTAAAGGGATAGTTTACCCAAAAATGAAAATTTTGTCAATTACTCACCCTCATGTTGTTCCAAACCCGTAAGTCCTCCGTTCATCTTCGGAACACAAATTAAGATATTTTTGATGGAATCTGAGAGCTCTCTGACCCTCCCATAGACAGCAAAGGTCCTTACACCCACTTACCCCCATTGAAAGGATTGGAGGGGCCAGGACAATTTTTAATATAACTCCGATTGGATTTGTCTGAAAGAAGAAAGTCACATACACCTATGAATGCTTTGAGGGTGAGTATAACACAGGCTAATTTTCATTTTTTGGTGAACTGACCCTTTAAATAAATAAATAAATTGTGTGATTAATATTCTGATCTCTATATATGGCTTAGGTCTAAGTGCTTGTGCCATGATGTCAAGTCAAATGACACTCAAGAATCAGTGTTGTTTTATGTTATTGATAAGTAGCCATATTTGATATGTGCTCTATAAATACAGTTGATCAACGATTTGGTTTAATTTGAGATGGAAAAACCATTTACTGTACTTAAAATAAAAAAAACTTAAAACGTTATACTTTTACATTTGTTACAGACAAATATATATATATATATTTTTTTTTTACAAATCCAAAGTTCTGGCATGAAATTCTAGATGGTGCAGTCTGATAGGTCAAACTCAATCTGACATAATGACATCATTATCACATGGCGCAGCTGATTGGCTCTTTTTGTATCAGCAGCCAATGCGCTCGCTGCTCAACATTTAAATTATTGGCTAGTGCTTGCAGTAGCAGTTGCAGCACACTTCAGAAACCCTTCACCTTCCCCAGTTCCACCAGTATAGATCTGCTATGGGGTGATTCATGTATGCTATGGGGATTATTTCATATATGTTATATGTGCAGCAGCAGTATTTCTTACATGCTCTCAGCAGCATGTATGTGGATGTATTGGCAGTAGCAAGTCTCGGTACTTGTTCTGCCACAGCAGCAGCAGCAGCAGCATAGCAGATCTGTTTATCTGAATCACTATTTTGCCTTGTCTCTGCTGTTACTGTTTGCTGTTTCTGGACCCTGCCTGTTTGGACCACACTCTCTTTTAATAAAGCCTGCAAATGGATCCTCACTCTGTTGTCACGCCTCCTTCGTTACATTCATTTAAATTGATTGTATGCCTTCACACTCTCAAAGAAAAAAAAAATTACCTTTAGGGTTGTAACAGCTTTTCACTGGGGTAGTACCCTCCTAGGGGCACTTTCTTTACCCCTAAAGGGTGCATATTAGAACCTTAGAATAGTAATATGGTTAGTAAAGGAATTAATATGTTCTCTTATGGTACTATTATACACCCTAAGGGGTAAAAACAGGTACAAAGGTGTCAATTTGAGGGTACTGTACCAGTGGCAAGCTGTTGTACCCCTAAAGGTACAATTTTTGCACATTTTTTTCACTCATTCTTCGGTTACACTTTATTTCGATAGTCCACTTTAGACATTCTATTAACTATAAGTAACTTTGTAACTACATGTCAACTACATGTCAACTAATTCTCATTCATTTGCAACTACATGTCTACTAACTCTCAGAGTAGACTGTTAGGGTAGGTTTAGGGTTAGTAGAATAAGTTGACAAAGAAAGTGTTAGAAGATATTAAGCAGACAGTCTACTAATACTCTGCTAACTGCTAGTTGACATGTAGTTGCAAAGTTACTTAGTGTTAATAGAATGTCTAAAGTGGACTATCGAAATAAAGTGTTACCCATTCTTCTTCTTCTTAAAAAAAAACACATTTGGATGACATGAGAGTGAGTAAACTTAATATATAGGGTTATGGGGTTTTGTTCCTAATAATAATAATGTGATACTTGCAAACACCACTAGTAAGCAACAAATAAAAGAGAGCCTTACTCCTTCAAAAGAACTTTGAAAAATATTTGATTAGAAAATTGACTCTTTATATGCTAATTTAACCCTTCTGTCTTAGCTTTGACTCTTTTGATTCAATGATTAAATTGATCAAAGATCTGCAAATACACATTGTTGATCCCAATGTCCCAAAGTTGTCAATAATCAGTGAGAATAATCAGTGACTGAAAGCAATTTTAGTTTCAAGGCCTCCACTGTAATTAGCTTCAATCCATCACGAAAGCGAGTGTGTACTTTTAGATGGTGGGCCGTAATTACGAGCTGTCTCAGTGACTTGTCGGATCTCACAATCTAATCATAGCTGAGCTTCCAAAACCCCCACCTGCCCTCATACAAGACTCTGTGACCACACTCACATTTATACTGTACTGCACATTCATTTATAATTATAACCCCTTATCCTTAAAAACTTTTTTTTAATCAATAAGGTTCTGATTGTAATTTTGGTGATTTAAAAAAAAAAAAAACCTTGAAGCAGCTTACACGATCCAATGTGCATTTTTCAAAGATGCCCTGAATTCACTGGCTTTATAAAAGGGCTTTCTGCCACTGTGTTTGCAGATTACCCAGAATGCCAGTTGCTTTTCATCCCCACTCTCTGTCAAACATTGACCTTTTCTTGCATTAGCCTTATTTTAAAGTAATGTCACACCATTTAAGAGCCAGCATATGATCAATGTACAACAGATTGCCCCTTCAAACTTTATTAGAAGCCTATTAATATCCACTCCTACAAATAACACTCATTTCATTTGACTTAAATATCAATGTAGCGGCTATGTAACAGACGTTTTTGAACAAAAAGATCACTGTTCACAATGCCTGACATGTATTTTTATTCATTCAATATTTACATCGCTCTTACAAATCATCTGACATACCATAAACTTACTTTTACTTACTATGTAAAAGGTGTCCACTGGAAGTTTTTTTTTTTTTTTCAAAGCCGAACAAGTTGCTAGGACTTGATGTACAAGGACTGGACCATGTTGAAAAACACATACAGCAGGAGTTATTGTGATTAAAAACTGTACATCATTTACATTCCATTATATTTGCATGAGCAAATGATAAAAGTATTAATTTCTGCTCAGAAACAGGGGTCATTCTTTAAAAAAAGCTGTAAAACAACATACTGTGATTCTTGGGTTGGAAATGCACATCATGAAAGAAATGGGGATTGTTAGTTACTTGATGAACAGCAAATGACTGAAATAAAAGCACTAAAGCACAAAATAAAATAAAATAAAATAAAAATACATATAAACTAAGCAAGTAGGCTTAAATCAGGGGTCAGCAAGCTATAAAGAAGCTGCTTCGCACATACAAGCTGTAGTATAATATATATTATATATTTTATAATATATAATATATATTTCTTAAATATATACATGTGTTTGTATTTATATATACATAATATTTATA